AGTTCTTCTGTAGATGCACCGTGCTAAAAGAGTTTGTCAATGCAAAGCTATGTTCAATTCACGGACTAGTTACGCTTACATTATGCTTAAAATCTACCAAACGTTTAGTATCATTAGAAAGGTAATAACGTAAGCTACTTCGTGAAATGGAAGAAATTCAATGAGTTGTTATGAGCTCAGAAAAAATTTGCAATGAACGTCAGCGCGCGCTGTAATCATAATTTTGGCCCACCCTGTACATCCGAGGTATTCGAAGCGGCAGAGCTCTACGACCTTGCCACTTAACTTTGCAAACACCTTTCTGCTCGAAAACTTTCTTGACTCGGCTCGAGTTTGATGCTCATGCTGTACGCGGGTAAGGGGAATCGCAGCGATTGGCTCCCAATGAGTTTCACAAGGTTCAATTTATTGCGGCTGCACTTCACTGATGCAGGTTTAAGCCCGACATATTGGCAAGTCGACTCAATGTGCCAAACCGCCACACTGTTCTCTATTCTTCTCCATCCTCCAAGAAATGATCTTCGATTCTGACTTCTAATGACATCTATTCGTCTAAATGTGTACTGCGCCACAATTTGTGAGATAAATTCCCAGTTGTTTTCTTTTTAATAAACGGAGGTCTCCATAGAACTTTTACTTCCTGAAGGATTTCCTTTCAGAAAGTAGTAGCGCAGTTGTTCAGGTTTACATCTTTGACGGGAAAGTAAAAAGGTTTATTCCATTTTAGTTATCGAACATTCCACCAGATAAACCTGAGTTACATGACGTCACGTACATTTAACACGGTCTACAAATGAGATCAGGTCATGAACTGCACTAAGAGCTCAAAAGACTATCCAGTAACGGTAGCGCGATAGGGGCTAACTGTGCAAGTGGAGGTGGTCTGTCAGTAAGGACAATCAGAAAGTAAATCGAATTTCGGATATAAGGCTCCATCCTCAGAATTCGAGGTAATACACGACCTTCCACGGATTTCTCGAAGGAAGAGACTCCTCACACGATGCAAAGCGGAGCACGCGTGCTTTGGTCGAGCCGACTAGCTATCTAGGACTACTGAACTTTCTCCTCAACACTTTCTTTAGACGGCATGGTCATGTACCGTGGATATAAAGAGCTTCAGGGAGATTGATGACTCGAGTATTTGAAAGATTTTTTTTCTCACCCCTGGTCTCTTATCCTCATCGACACTTTCTTATTTTTCACCAAAAACGGTACATCAACTTTCAGGTATTTGTGTCTGAGCCTTTAAAACCCTTAGAGGACATTCAGTGCTTGAAAAGTTGTATACTATGTGCGTGCTGAGTCGAAACACTACGTCATGTCATCAAAAAATTACTACCATCTATATCACAAGGTTGGCGAGCGATAGACAAAATACGTGCTCCCACATTTGACTTCTAGTCAGAATCGCACTGAAGTTTTGAATGCGTATTCGGCCCAAACAGTGCTTGCGGTTACCAACAATTTTATACGTCAACGCTTTTATTCTCCCAGACGAGTATAATACCTCCAAGCTAACCCTGGAGGATTTTGTTGGCTACGACGAGTATCGATCCGCGAGTCGAACCGCGGACTATGCGCACATGATAGCACGCCAATAGCCATTACGCCAGCTCCGCCCAATAAATTATTGAGAAAATTTGATATTATTTGCTTGTAACCTGATAGTATTCTATCAAAGTTTATACAACCGGGAAACACTCTGAGCAGCTCCATGTACGGCTTTCTATGAACCTCGGCATAGTTGTATCACTGAGTTTGTTCTTTTCTTGAACTCTTCACGAGGTTTTTAAATATGCTTTATTAGGCTGACGTTTCGGCGGAATCGCCTTTTTCAGAGCCTGAAAGGATCATAACAGTTTGTGACTATCC